GGGCTCTTCATTCTGAAATAATCATTCTTGCTCTCTAAGCACCACTCATTATAACTAGAAGAAATCCTGCCATCACTTCCCATTTCTCTATGTCAGTGTTTATTCTCTGACTCTTGTCACTTGCATGACAATCTCAAGGTCAGAAGATGTTGAATAAAGGCTAGAGTTAGGCCGGTTTGGGGCTGTCTTCTTGCTCTAGTCGTTAGAGCTTGGTTACTCTCCATTATCCGCCAGAACATCAGGTGGAAAGGGTTGCATTTCTCAGCAGACTGCTACTAGGATTATGGGGCTTGAGGGAATGAAAAGTTTCAGAAGTATGGTGAAAGGATTAGGATTGTAGGAATGGAAGCCAGAAAAAAGAACCTAGAAAAATAGTGGCCATTTTAAATGAATGAAATCAAATGGAAAATAAATGCCAGAAGGATTGAGGCAGAAAACAGAAAAGAGTTGTAGCTTTTAAGTTTTTCCTTTTTAAAAATCCCTTTCTTTTGGCTTAATCACCAAGGAAGGACACATTAACCATTTGGCTGCAGCTCCGGACACGAGAGCAGTTGCCAGCAGGGCCGGGAGTGGAGCTGGGCAGATTGGAGATGCTGGCCTCACCCCTCCTTCACCCTGGCTCCCCACCGTTCTCGGTGCTTGCATTTTGGTTTCGGCACTTTTTCTCTTGTGTCACAAGAGAGGTGAGGAGTGGAGTTATCATTCTCTTTCATATTAAACCATGCTGTCTGGTTGAAGAAGGGTAAAATTGAAAACCCATATGGCTTTGGAATAGCAAAAGAATCTTAAGTCTCCATCGCTGTCCCACATTTAACTGTTTCATGTTGTCATAGTTCCTTACAATAGGATGCCTCACAGAGGCTTCTCTTGAGTTACACATCTTCTTCCTTTGTGACAGTGGAAGCATGAGCGATACGTTCTCGCCATGCCAACTACCTCCTTTGTAGTCAGCATTGATTTGGAAATAGACTGAGGAAGGTAATGGTTGTATTGAAACATGTTAAATTCACAAATGGCAGAATTTCAGTAAAACCAGAAGACTTGATCATTTTCAGTACATTTTTAGAATGGAGAGAGACTGGAAGAAAGTTTCTAGAATATTCTGTTGAATCAAATCCTAGAATCTAAATCAAGGTTCATAATGCTATTTCAGACCTTATAAAGATGAGGAAATCCACATGTAGGCACTCAGGGGATAGTTTCCACCTTCTTTTCTGTGGAATCATTATTAGCAGTTCCTTTCCAGGTGTTTAGCCATTAAGAGAAGGAGAGAGCACTTTCTTCTGACGTTGCACCCTAGGTGGTAGGCTGTGTGGTCCCTGAGTTTTTCTGAGCCAAAGAGGGCCGAAGAAGGATGCGCATGTTAGGAAGTACTTCCTTTTCCACTGTTTATAGTTTACCTTCATGTTTAGTTATCAACACTGGTTATAAAGACTAACCAGAAGAACAAAGCGAGCAACTGTTTTCTTGGTGACTGTCTTGGACAAAAGAGGCCTTTTGAAAAAACAGGGTCAGATGAAGATTGGCCATTCAGATCCCATTTCAGTGCTTGCCTAATGACAGAGTCCTGCTTCCTCCTTCTCCCTTTGTACGTGCCTTAACCCTTTCCTATCTCCTCTCCCTTCTCCTCCCACAGGAGGAAACCCTGAGCAGCCTGTTCAACTAGAAAATCGATGACTGATAGAGACTTAGTTGCTGGACTGGGCTTTGTAAACAAAATCTGCCTTTGGAAAAGAACGAGGAAACCAGGGTACTAAGTTAGCTCAGCTCGTAGAGTTAAGATTATCAGTCTTAGGTGAATATGCTTGCCTTTTTACTTGGGGGTTCTGGCTTTCTTGTATTTATGTCAGGGACTTTAACCAAGTATTGAACTGATGTAATCCTCCAAACATTATGAAGTAGGTAATAGATGTGGCAACTGAAGCGGTTTGGTAACTAGCCCAAGAATGGTGGACCCAGGATTCAAACCTAGGCCGTTTTTCTCTATATACTCTTTGGAACCCATACAGCTTATAATTATTCTCATATGCAGTAGTTAATATTTGCCCTTGAGTTATGGAAAGATCAGAAGTACAGAGCTGAGATCATTCTCACTGAACTTCAGTGTTGGGGTGGTTTTTCAGCATATTATTATCTTTCTTCTCAGTCAGGGACCAACCTACCTTTTTCTTTTCTAGTGCTGAGGAATGTAAACAAGTTTGCTGGGCCTTGCGAGACTTCACCAGGTTGTTTCGATAGCTCACACTCCTGCACTGTGCCTGTCACCCAGGTGAGTGTCCCAGCCTTTTCCCTGGCTGCCAGGAATGCTTGGGAATGACATAGGTTTTAGTGCCCATCATGGGACTTATGCTGTAGCTGGTCAGGGAACGACTTAACAGTTTAACGCTGCTAAACAGTTGGAAATGCAGGGCCCTGATTTTCTTGGGCCAAGGCAGCCAGGAATTGTCAGCTTCTTTTGGATGCCATCTTCACCCCTACAGGAAAATTATTGTAGAAGAGCTCAAGAAAAAAAAATTCTCCTGTCATCTTCTTATAGACACTTTAGGATGGTAAGTGTGTATGCTAAATAAACATTTTTTAACCTGGCTACTTTGGTGAAAATAATGCTGACCTAAAGTTGACTGTGATTACATGACACCATTTTCCTAAAACTGACCTTCCATATCAGTGAACAAAAGATACTTACTCTTATCACTTTTATAGTCTGAATGCTGAAATGCGAGGTTCTGACCAATGCCAGAGATAGAGGAAAGGAGGTGGTGTCGTTGTCTAGCTCTTTGTCCGCAGTTTTTCACCATGTGCTTCCTAACTCCTCTTTCTGAGGTACAGCAATAAGCTTAGCTGAGGACACAAGGGACTGGGTAGTGGGATTTGGGTGCCAGTTTCTTGACTGAGAGAAGAAAAGCGGCTCTCTTCTGAAGCCCCACCTTTGATGTCTTAGGCAGAATTTATTCTCCTAGGAGGCAATTCTCGATGAATGTGCAGCACCTTCCTGGCGGTTTCTGTCACTAAACGCATTCGTAGATGAAGGTACTCTTTGGCAGTGCCTCACCACACCAGAAATTATTTCTAAACTTTGTTTCTTTAGTGAGTAGTGATATCATTTGGGATCTTCCCGTTTTGTAGTGTTGGTGATGTACACAGGCTTGTTAGCGGCCAGCCGTGGATGCTCATAGCTGACATTTATGGTGCCTTTACTGCGTGTCAGGTGCTGTGCGCAGTGTTCTGTATGTATTAACTAAGATAATCCTCAGCCAGGTCTCTGGGTTAGTTACCTTTTTTATTCCCATTTTACAGGGGAACAGAGGTTCCAGATGTTAAATGATTTGTGTGATTGTCACAGTCAGTAATTGATAGAACTGCGATTCAAGTGTGGACATTCTGGTGCCAGAGTCCTCACTTTTAACCACGGTACTTAGTACTTCTACAGAGTACCTTTTTCATACAGACTACATCAGTGGTTTTTAAGCTTTTGTTAGTAGGCAAAGTCTTCCTTCAGAATAAACTCTCACATGAAACCCCAGTATTAAAACAGACTGAAGTAGGTATTTTGTGTGTTTGGGGTGGGCAGCCTGGACCTGTTAGTCCACTCTTCCCCCAACATACATTCCCTAGTCTCCGCGCCACACTCAGAATTAGAGAAGGGCTGCAGACTGTATCATTGAAGCAGTAGCTCTCTTGAAATCACAAGTAAAAAAATCCATCTTCTTTTCCCCCACCGAGTCGGTGTTGCAGAGGGCAGAATGGGTGCCTGAGCAAGTACAGAAATGTCTGCCTTGACTTTATAAGAAGCTTACTGCGTCCTGGACCACAATTATTGACTGTTTTCTCTCTTTTGTCAGGAATGTCTTTTTTAATTAGAAGACAGGAAGAAAACAAAAACCAGACTGTGTCCCACAATCAGAAACCTCCATTGTGGCAGAGGGGCCTTCACCGCCACCAGGGCGTCCCACCAGACAGGGAGAGACTCCAGCCTTCAGAGGCCATCCTGAGGAGTTCCTGTTTGGGGGTGTGAGGGAAAATCAGCGCGGTTTCAAAAAAGATGGCTGTGGCCTGTCCGGCGTGGTGGGAGGGGAGCTGGTTTCCTGGTGAACTTGTTTCAAAAGGAAAAATAATTTTAAAGAAATAAAAAAGGAAAAAAAAAAAAGGACAACTAAATCGAAACCAGAACTGAAACGTTCACTTGGCAGCAGTGACACGCACGCGCACACACACGTACCTGTACACACATGCTGACACGCATGTGCACACAGTAAAATGAAAGTACAGATTTCTGTGAAGCAGAAACCATTTACTTAGGGAAAACGGGAATTCAGTTAAAATAGCTGCAATTGGAAGAAAAGGGTCAGGATCATCTCTTAAGGTTTTTATTCTTTTTTCCTCTCTTTCCCTCCCACCCTCCCTTGGTGCCCTTCCCCCCTCCTCTTTTAATGAAAATGAATAGAAATTTATCCCACTCGCCCAGCGTTTCTTCTCACCTCTAGACTTGATCGGACAAGGAGGAGCCTGTTTGTTTTATACCATGGCCACATCAGTGATACCAGGACCTGCAAGGGCCAAAATTCATGTATATCCCAACCCTGACCCTATCCAATCTCTAAATCCACTTCCAATCCACAGTGGGTTGTCATCTGCCAAAATTAGGGTGAGTGGGATACAAATGTATAGTCTAAGTTTTAGTGTTTTAAAGATTTTTTTTTTTTTTTTTTTTTTTTTTTTTAGTTTTTCACCCACAGACACGAGAGAGGAAAAAAAGGAGGGTGGGAATATGGGGGAAAGTGTTTACAGGGCTAATTGTATTTTACTAAAAAGTGTGGAAATTATTTGACTTCGTTGGGGGTGGTGAGGCGGGAGAGGGAAGCCCAAAGCTGATCTTAATGTTTTAAAGGAGTTGCAGCCCTGCACAGGCGTTAGATTTGAGGGCACTGTTCTGTCTGGTGTTACAGCCATCTCAAGAACAAATCAACAGCAACAAAAAAAGAAAAGAAAAGAAAAAACAATAAATTTTTAAAATTTAATCAGTGTTTGTTTCTCCTTCCTTTTACTGCCTCAGAGCTCTGAAATGATACAGCTAGACCACACGAGTGAGCAGTCCTAGGCGTTACCTGGTAGACGGCTGCCTGTGGAGTTTAAACGGCAGGCCCCTGCTCTTGATGCCATGGACCCTTCATATTTCAGGGGAGTTGGCTCATTCTGCATATTTTTTCTTCTAGTTCACCCTAAAACTCATGCTACATTTGTGGTACGTATATTCTTTCTACAGTGGCCACCCAAGTAGATTGATATCTAATCTTCTGAATACAGTAATTGGTCTTTGAAAAAAAAAACCTATATTGCAATATGATTGACATAGAATAAGCTGCACATATTTACGTTATATAGTTGATAAGCTTTGACATCGGATACACCCATGAAACCATTAACACAATCAAGATAGTGAACATACCTTTACTCCCAAAAGTTTCCTCATGCCTCTTACCATTCTCCCCATGCTCAAGTAGGCACTGATCTGCTTTCTGTCACTGTAGATTAGTTTGCATGTTCTGTAGTTTTATGTAAATAGGGTCACTCAGTATGTTAAAGTAATTGGGTTTTGAGCTAATAAGCTTGACTGCAGAGCTCTATCTAATATTTGAACTCAATGAAACAAATTTTCCTGTATAATATCGGTTGTACTCAAGAGTTTGACTTGGACAGGATCTTAGACTGCACACATTTAAGAATCCACACCCTTACTTCAGCTGGCTTCCTCCTAGAAAGCAAAGCCAGCCAGTTCAGCGCTCATGGAGCCCTACTGACTCATCACTGGAAGGCAGGCCCGCCCTCTGACATGGCCCCAGAGATGGAGGGCAAGTGCTCGGGGAAAGAGAGCCAGCTGATATCAGAAACGGGGTCCTAGAGTACCATGGAAGTAACTGGATCTTTTTAATATTTATTAATTGAAAAATACATAAAATTCCACCTCTACCCCATGTTCTTTCAAGAAGGAAGTAGCTGCCAGCCTTAAGGATCTGGTATAATACCTGTGTGCATATCTGTCTCAGATATGTGGACATGAGGCTCAAACTAGAGGGAACTCCCAAATCGGATCAGACCCATGCCCTGCTGAGAGAGCATGGCCCACAGCACTTGGCTGTTTTTGCCAGAGGAATTGGGGGGCAGCCACAAAGGTGGGCCAGTCTGGGACAAATGCTTCTCAGGTAGGCCTCTAGGGTTGAGGAAGTTCCTCCTCTGCTCACTGGGGCTGATGTCTGACTTCCTCCAGAGTGAGCAGAGGAGAGGCGTGTCCAGGAAGACAGAGCCCTCAAAGCAAAAGTGGCTTCTAGCTTCCCTCAGATGCTGCAAGGAGAGCCTGGAACTCAGACCTCTCTTCCCTCTCCTTAGCACTAATCCACTTCCAGAAGATCCAGAAAGAGGACCTGCAAGCCAGTCAGGTGCCCAATGAGGCCATCACACAGCCACCGGAGTCCACATAGCCACCTGGGAAGCCCATGCCAGATATTATCTGCAGTCTCATTGTTGCATGCCGACTGGGTGCATGGGCCAGGCCTCCTGACCAGCACCGAGGCCTGCCACAGGAGGGGCCTGGGCCACAGGCTGCAACCGCTGCTGGGACTGCCAGATGTGATGGAGCTCCTTGAACTGCTCCACCATGCGGTCTTTGAGGTCTGGGTTTGAGATCTGTAGCCGGATACTATCAGCCGACCAAGAAAGCTCCCCTGAGAACATCTCCAGCAACAGCCGAGCTGCTACAGGCACCACCTGGCGGGGAGGGAGGGGCAAAGAGGGACAGGGAGAACCTTCATGGGACTGTCAAATCTAGTTGTGCCTCAGGCATCCCCCAGGAAAAAGGGCCACAGATTTCTACTTCATACAAAGGCTGGTTATGTGTGGACAGCCCTGGGCCTTGATTATCTCTGGCCGCTAAGTTCACACTGCTCAGAGAGCTCTGAGCCCCAGGATTTCCCAGTATTCGAGCCAGAGCAGAGTGGGGCTTGAGGGATGAGATGGTGGCATACCTGTACAGTGATGAGCTTCTTCTCTCGGGGTTTGCGGTCAGGCCACTCCTCCCCAAAGCAGAAGAAGATCTCAAATGGTGGTGGGGTGTTGGTCTGGCCCTTCTGGAACAGGATGAGCTCTGCAGCAAGATCAAGACCCTTAGAGGCTAGAAGCATGTCCCCGGATGAGAGGAAGCCACGAGGAGCACAATGCGGGTCCCTCACCATTGAGAAAATGCTCCAGGCTGAAGAGCTTGGTTTTGACCTCCCGCTGGATGGGGTTGGGCTGTGAGCCGTGGGCCGAGGCACAGGGCCCGCTCCAGAACACTTTGCACTGGCACAGGCGGATGGCATACAGATCTTGGCCTTGCAGCTGGAGTATGAGCCCGCGGTCCAGGACATCCAGTAGCTGGTTTGTGTAGAAGCGTTGCTTTTCGCTGGGGATGTCCTCGGGGCTGGGGAAGCGCACTTGCTCCAGGCTCACAGGGCCGAAGAGCTCTACCTGCTCTTGGGTGGCCTCCAGCTGGCTGTAGAAGAGCCGGCAGCCCTGTGGGTTGCTGATGGTGAGGGCACGGGGTGGCCGCCCCCGGTACTGGAACTTGATCTCCAGGTCAGTCACTGTGGGGCAGAGGGCAAGCCGGCCCGGTCTGTGAGCCCTATGCCTCCTTGTCCTCTGCCCAGCAGCCAGGCCATCTCGGTAGCTCTCCCGATTATATCCCCCCACCCCCACCCAAGGAGGGACTGGCTTGAGCATCTTTGTTCTTCCTCCTCCACCCTTCTTGCAAACCAACCCCCCACCTCAGCACTGTTTTTGCAGAGCAACCCCCCTGCCCAGCCCTCCCATGGGTCCTTACAAGGCAACATGTGGGGGCTGATCAGCAGGTCCGGCAGGAGTTGTTCGCCCGTGGGGGGCAGGCTGGCAGCCAGGGGTCCAGGCTGCAGACTTGGCAGGACCTCAGGGAGAAGCTCCCCAAAGCCAGCAGGGTTCCCAGGGGTGGGGCCCAGGAGGCTGGGGTCTGGTGCAGGAGGGCCCAGCACCACAGGTGGCTGGAGAGTGGGTGGCCACTTGACATCCTCTTTGGGTAAAGAATAGGGTGCCATGGGGGGGCCAGGTTGCACTGCTTCTGCAGAGGATGGGGGCAAACAGAGCTTTAATGCCACTTCGGTAACTGCCCCCTAGGCCCACCTAATCCTAGCCCTGGGCCTCCCTCAGCCCCCTCCCAGGTACTTGTACCTGCAGCTTCTCCTTACTCTAGGCCCCCAACCACACCACCTCCCGGCCCCACCTGTGAGGCTCAGGCTTGGTAACATCCTCTGGAGCTGAAGAGAAGACAGGCAAAGGAGAAGGGAAGAGGCCAGAGAGAGAGAGAGAAGGGAGGCCAGGTTAATGAATTGATCTGATGCTAAAGAAGTAACACATGAGCACCACAAAAGCAATTCCCCGGCGTTCAGCTTAGCAAGGCCAGACCTGCCTCCAGTCCCAGCTCTGCCCTCCCAAGCAGGTCAGTGAGCTCCCAGGGCCTCAGTTTCCTCATCTGCCTTCTACAGGTAGTAATACCTACTCAGCCCCAACTCCTATGAGGGTGTGTCAGATGACATGAGGTCATGTTTTGTAGCAACAAAGCCCTAAGGAGGCTCAGGATGCTGACTGTGGTCCTATCCTCAGAACTCCAAGAAGAAGCTTCAGAGAAGAGCTGCAGAAAGGGCAGCAGGGCCCTGGAGGAAAGGTGCTGCTTAGTCCTAAAGCCGAGCAGGACAGCAGAAAGGCCCCAACAAGGCCCACCATGTCAGTGCAGGTGACACTGCCAAGAGTGGTCCTGAACTCACCTCTTCCTCTTCCTCCTCCTCCTCCTCTCCTGCACCAAAAGCATAATCCTCACAGGGCTGAGACTCTGCAGAGCAGGGAGAGAAAGAAAAGACAGAAATGGAGTCAGTGGAGGAGGAGGAGGTGGGGGAAGGCCACCAGGGCTCCCTGGGGCAGTTCCTGCTGTGGCTTCTTCCCTGCCCAGAGCTGCCCAAACAGAGGAAGCTGAAAGGCCACACAGCCACCAGGAACCACTAGGGACCTCTCCAACCCCATGGCAGTAAGCTCCTTCGGCCACTAGACCTACAGTCAATGGAGCCAAGAGCCAAGAACAAGGGCAAGGTGAGGAAGACCGACATGAAGCCTGGTATGTGCCAAGCCATTCCCGGCCTCACAAATGGTCCATTGCAGGCCACTCCTGGGAGCCCCGGATGTAATGACCTCGCACACTCAGGGGCCCTGGGCCTTCCCACACAGCAGACCTTCCTGCACAGCTTCCTAGGTGGCCCACATAGGGTCAGGCATGATACCTGCAGGCGCGTGGCCATTAGAGCAGACCTCGTAGATCTTGTAGGGCTGAGGTGGCATGTCCCGGGGTCCATCGTAGATGAGGCGGAAGTCACGGCTCTTGTTAAGGGCACAGCGCAGGTTGGCCTTCCATTTGGCCGGGTCCGCCTCGTCCACCCCCTCAGTGTATTTTCCTGTCTCCTTGGCCCAGGCCTGGGGCAGGAAGAAAAGATAGGCAACCACAGAGAATCTCGACCCTCGGCAAAGCCCCAGACCCTCCTGGCCCATGGGAGTCACTGCTGAGCCTGTGAGACCTTCAGGGACACACAGCCTGACCTGAGTGTCCCTCTGCAAGGTGAGAGATAAGACTCCAGTCCTTCCCAGCCCCCAGGGCTCCAAGAAACTAAAGGAAACCTAAGCGCTTTGAAAGGCATTTTATTCACTGCTCCTGCAAGTGTAAATAAGGTAAAATCTCTAAGGAGGATGGTGGATAAGAACATAGGATCTGGAGCGGGATTGGGTTTGAACCTGGAAACTGTCACCCACCAGCTTTGTGCCAGGGGCATGTCACTTTGCCTTTTTTTTGCTGTGATGTCCCCAGCAGAGTGCCCACCTTACAGTGTGAATGTAAAGACTCCAGGGCCCACAAAACTGTCAGAGCTGTGTCTGCACTTTGGATAGGCTCCGTGCACTTTAGCTGTTGGTATTATTTTTGAGGGTCAGTTGGCTGATAATCAGGATTGCAAATGTTTCTTCCCTTTAACATAGCAATTCGACTTTTAGGAATTTATCCTAGGGATACAGAAGCATTCACACAAAATTCTGTACATAAACCAGGTTATTCATTGCAGCCGAAGACCCCGGATAAATGCCCCTCAGTGGGAACTGGTTAAATTATGGTCAATCCTGAGAATGGAATAATGGGCAGCAAGAAAAAAAAAAAAAAGTGGGGGGGGGTGGATTTTGATATCCTAATACGTCAAAATCTTCAAGAAATGTGAGGTACAGAAGGGTATGTATACATCTATCATTTTGTGAAAAGCAGGAGAAAAATAGGTACGTGTCTGCACATTATGCACAAAAATCTCTCAGGAACGATAAACAAGACACTGACAATATTAACTGTCTCCAGGGTGGGGATAGGTGGGTGGCTGAAGACGGGGGTGGGGAGGAGCCTTTTTGCTGCAAACCATTTTACACTTCTTAAAGTTTGAATTGTGTTACCTATTCAAAAATAAGAAATGGATTTGAAAAGAACCTTCAAAGGGTAAGTATCAACCTGCAAAGACTAAGGCGACCCTATCCAAATCTTTAAAAATAAGGATTTTCTTTGCCCCAACAATGCTGAACTCTAGGAACTAACCCCAAAGAAAATCATTCAAGATGTACCGAGGGTAAGAGTTTAGAGGGTACACGTGACAGGTCTTCGACACTGAAACACTAGAAGCAATGGGAAGTGTCCAAAACTGGGTTTGGACATCTAAACTGTTAAGCCCTCCAGCAATCACGGAAAGCGACGTGGCATTTATGGCAGAGGAAAGCTGGTTCTGACGTTGGGTGGTGAAAAATGCAGGATATTCCAGGTTGATTCCATTTTTGAATTTTATAGACATGCAGAAAATCGAATGTACAAGCAAAACATACCGTAGTCGTTACCTCCTAGTGTTAAGATTACAGGGGCATTCTGTGGTCTTCTTTTAGAGTATGTGCTCTCCAAACATGCACACTGCACACGTGCTCATGTGTGATGAGAATGTGACAAGGAAAGGGAGGGAGGAGGGGGAGTTACAGGCAGGTCTCCTGGGGGCCTTTCAGTCCCCACCTTGCTCTGGGTAGGAGGTTAAAAAAGGCACAATGCAGGGGCTCGTGGGTGGCTCAGTCGGTTAAGTGTCCAACTTAGGCTTAGGTCATGATCTCACAGTTCATGGGTCTGAGCTCGGTATCAGGCTCTCTGTTGTCAGTGCAGAGCCCACTTCAGATACTCTGTCTCCCTCTCTCTCTTCCCTGCTCTCTCTCTCTCATAAACAAACAAACAGAAAAAAAGGCACACTTCAGGGGTGCCATCAGAAAATAAAAAGCACCCTGTGATTACGCCTGCATCCCCTTAGTACAAGCCTGGGGTCACCTGCAGCAAGGCAGCTGGCACAGTGGTCAGTTTAAGATGTATGGGGGGGTCCTCTTCTAGGGAGGAGGTGCCTCAGAAGTCTAGGAGTACCCCCTTCCTGGGCTTACCTTGAAGATGGTATTATCTCCGTCCTGGCTGGGGCCATGCCGCGTGGCATGGCGCCAGGGGATGTAGAAGAATTTCCTCTCCCCATTGACCCATTGAAGCCCTGGGTACTGGCAGCTGTTCACCTGGGCCACCAGCCAGGGCTTCAGTCGCACACGTCGGGGTGGAGGGGGGGCCCTGGGGGCAGGCTGGTTCATGGCAGAGGGATCTGCAGGAGAAAGCCAGAGGGGGATGTCAGAAGATTTGCAGCTAGATGCTCCCTGCAGCAGGAAGATGTGCTGGGTGCCTAGCCAGGGATATTCTGGCTTCCTCTTCCTCTCCGGTCTGCCCAGATGCTCACAGCCAATTCTCTTTTCCAATTGTCAGCTTTCTGGTCACAGGATCATCACTGCATCTGTGCTTTGTGTTTGGGAGGTGGGAGAGAAGTAGGGGGTTTACAGACAGTGGATGCCGTGCACGCCCCACCCAGGCATGCTTTACCAGGTGGGCATCAGTTGCCCAGCTGCTGTGAGGCTGCAGCACCACAAAGGCACGGGGCTGCTCATTGCTGCCTCGCTCCACAGCTAGGCAGCCCACAGCCTGTGAGTGACTGATACACAGGGACAAAAAGTCAGGCCCCTTGCTTCAGATGGAGCAAACTGGTGCAATCGGTGCTCCAGGGCTTGGTGTAGGGTCAAACCGGAGGTTATCTGCAGCTGACTCCACATCCTTGCTTAGCTTTCTTCCTGCCCCATGTGCCCCCCCCCCCGCCCTCCCTCTCCTTATCCGGAGAACTCCCTCACTATACCCCCTTCTAGGAAACCTGGCCAAAGACCAAGTCACAGCATGTGGATGGAGGAAGGGTTTCCACACCCACTCCTCAGAGCTTACTTTCTTCCTCAGTTTCCCTCAGGGATGAAGCTTCCCACACCTGGACATCTTGAGAGAAATCCCATCAACCCACTCAGTCTACCTCCTGCATCACCAGGGCAGCAGCCATAAGTGGGACTTGAGAAATACCAGCCAACTGATACACCCCAGATGTTGGAAGATTCTGTCCTCCAGTCATTTCTCCCCGACCAGCCCTGCTCTCTCCAGGATCCTCCTCTGAGGGGGGTAAGACCAGACATAAGAGGAAGGCGGCTGGGGCTGTGACACAGGCAAGGGTCCAAGGGGGGTAGGCCTGTCAGGGAATGAATGGCTGAAGGAACTAGGCCATCTGGGTTAGTGGATAGAGACCAGAGCTATCCTTAACATTTGTGGCACCAACATGTGAGAAAAGGACTCGGGTTTAAGTCAATACCTGGACAGCCTCCACTGAGGCAGACTAGACCCAGGTTGAAAAAGATTTTTTTTTTTTTTTAAATTTCTAGGAGAGAGAGAGACAGCGTGAGCAGGGGAGGGTCAGAGAGAGAGGGAGTCACAGACTGAAACAGGCTCCAGGCTCTGAGCTGGCAGTCAGCACAGAGCCCAACGCAGGGCTCGAACCCACGAACCGCGAGATCATGACCTAAGCGAAAGTCGGACGCTTAACCGACTAAGCCACCCAGGCGCCCCTGAAAAAGAATTTTCTAACAGCTAAAGCCATGCAACCAATAGGCTTAGCCTGGGAGGAACTGGTTTCTGGGGTGTACCTACGCCCAGGTGGGCTCCCAGGTGGCCTGCCGTAGGTGGGAGGTTGGCCAAGATGATCTCTCAGTTCTGGCCCCTATCATTTCAGGCCTGCTGGGAGCCCTGACCTCAGTTTCCCCTGAAATTCCCTGCCCAGTACCTTTTTGGGCTGTAGTTGCTAAGTGCCACCTCCATGCTGCTAAGAAGTCTCCATCCACAGGCCTCTCCTCAGCAGTGCCCAGCTCCAGGCGAGGACAGGGAGAGTAGGAGAGCCCCCAGCCCTGCCCCCAGGCCTTAAAAGACTGATGGTTCAGTTCCCCTTTCTGCACCAGCCTCCACCCAGCCCCAGGGGAAATGAAAGTGGCCAGACCAGACAACTCGGAAATCTGACTCACTGTGAACTGGGGGGAAGGAACACGGAAAAATTCACATTTGGGTCCCCAAGACCAAATTCTCAATCCCTCATCCTGTGGCCCATTCCCCAGTCCCCTGCTGATGGTCACCATTTGGTGTGGTTCACAGCTCCTGGGATAGCCTCACCCACCACATTTGTAATTGTAGCTCCCGCCCGCACCCTCGGAAGAGAGGCCTTGGTCCTAGTAGGACAGTCACCAGTAGATGCCAATTCTGGCTCCGTGAAGGTGGACAGAGGAAAGCTCTGTTAACCCAGAGGGGAAGGCAAGCTTCCCTGATCACCACCTATGACACGTTCAGGCCCGCAGCTGTGCCAGGGGTGATGGAGCTGGGAGACCAGAGAGGCCTACTCCTTCTCTGCCCAGGGCAAGGAGGAAGTCAGGGTGATTCCTGCCCCGCTGCCTAGCGGGGCCCAGCAGTGCTGTTCAACACAAGCTTTTGAAATTATTCATGTCAGGAATGTACAATCCCTTCGGGTATTCTAAGGAGGGTAGTATGGAGAAAGGGCTCCCATAACAAGCCCAGCCAGGGTCAAGGGGGTGGGGGTGGGGGGGTCCAACAGGCCAAAGAAAGGTCTTCTGCCTCAGGTGCACCAGGCCCAGGCTCAGTGGGTTTCCCAAGGAGGCTTCCTCCTACCTAGAGGTGGGCTTAGATCTGATTCCAGCTATCCCAATGCCAAGAGTTCTGAATTTCAATGCGTTTTTGCCCCCTCCCACTTTCCCTACAGGTAGGAGCAGTGGCCCAGGCTCTCGGGGCACGTCAGGAGCCAGAACACAGCTCTCAGAAAGTCTATTCACATTGTGCTCCGCCGTGGGAGGACTTGATTTTTCAGTAGAGGGCAGGCTGGACCAGGCAGGGGGTCTGCCCTGGCTCACTGACAGCTGAACATGTGTGCCCTCTGGAGACTTGGGGTAACACTTCTGCAACCCCCAGACCTAGGATTTGAGCCCTGGAGAGTGGGGAAAGCCAGAAGAACCTGCATCAGTTTCCATGGAAATAAGGAAAAGAGGTGTGGGCGGCTGAGGACCTGAGAAAGCCCTTATGGGTGAATTCTGTAACAGTGAAGCATCTAGAGGGGCAGCCTAGGAACCTCTGCTGGGGTAAGGAAGCCCCACAATCCACACCAAGGCCCTGGAGTCCCGGGAACCGACCACCTGAAGAGCCCGGAACACTGGTGCGGGAGACCAGGGACCCCTAGGGGAGGGGCTCTGCAGCCCCGTAGTGGGAGGAGCAGCAAGCACCTTGCCACCTCGGGAGTCTGTCCGGTTCACAGTCTCCCGGCAACCCCACACTAAGTTCAGGGACAAGGCAAAGGGTTCCCTGCGCCTGGCGTGACCCTAAATCCCACCGCCTCCAGGTGACTTGACCACATCCTGAGACAAGCTGAGGCCCGGATGCCTCTCTAGGCTTCCTTCAGGGGAAGGCCAGGGTGCAGGGGGAAACCCCAAAGTAAGGTAAAAAAGGGTGGTTTCCCAGTGCCTCCCGGCACTTGACGGAGCCTTAGCGCCCCCACCGGATAGTTCAAGGGAGGGCGGGACGATGCCTCAGGCCTTGCTGCCCCTCTATTCTCCTCCATCGGCCCCGCCTGCGTCCTAGCTGGTCCTGGTCACTTATCCTCGCTTTGCGCGCGCGGGGAGCCCAGACCAATCCCGCGGATCCACCCCAGGGCGCAGGCTCAGGTTCTGCCTCTTAGAACGCTCCTCGGGCTGACGGCGCCCCCTGTCTCTTCCCCACCCTTCCGTGCCCGCCGCCCACCCCCTACCCCTGCTCAGACACTGCCCAGAGAGTACTACGCGCGGTTTGGGGGGCACCTTCTACCCGCGTCGCGGCCACAGTCAGCTCACTTTCCCTCTCCTTTGAGATTCGTTTTAAGTTCGAGGGAAGGATGTGAAGAAATTGCAAGTCCAAGAATTGAGCCCCGTGGTTCTCTGCTAGGAGGGTCAGTGCCTCTTGCTCTCGGCCACTAGTCAAAAGACGGCGACTCTACCCGACACCATCTTCCCACACACTCTGCCCGAATTCCTGTCATTGGCAGGTGCCCGGGGAAGAGAGATGCGACGCGCGCAGAAAGGGGGAACAGGGGCTCACCCCTCTATGACCCGAGCCAGACCGCCGTCGGACGCCCGGGCGCTCTCCATCCTTGCGACGGCGAGACGGAGGCAGAGCAGAGGTGAGCTGGGCCCCCTGGCGGGGGGACTCCGCCGCCCGGCTCTCCGGGCTCTCCGGGTGCCCGAGGGACGAAGGCTGCGGGTGCGAGGCACCCCACGCCGATCCAGACGTAGGAAGCACCTTGGAGGCCGCCAGACCCGAGGGGCAAGCCCTGCAGTGGGCGCCCCCCACCCCCACCCCGCCGCCACCGGAGCTCCAGCGCCTGGCGGAGCCGGACGCGGACCCCTCCCGCGCGCCCGCCGTGCCTCTGTCCCCCGCCTGCCGCCGGCAGGTGCCCGGAGGGCGCGGAGAGGAGCGCGGGCGGCCGGGACCTACCTGTCTCCGGTGCACGCGCGTGGCTGCGCCCCGGAGCACGGGCTGGGCGGCGGGGCCGAGCTGCGCTCTCCCGGAGCTGCGCCTCCCGCCCGCCTGGCACTTCCGCATCACCCGCCCCCGCCCCTGGGTCGCGGCCGCCGAGCCTCAGTGCGCGGGCAGCGCCCCGCCCTGCCCCTCGGGACCACCCGAGGTCCCCCGGCTCTGACCCGGCGACTGAGGGCTGCAGAGCGGGCCAGGCCGGTCCCCCGGCTACAGCCCAAGGCCTCTGGGGTAAATGGCAGGCAGCGCGGTGGCCTGGACCGACTACCGGGCTCCTTCTGCAATCTGGAACCGCAAAATAGGCATTTGACAGTCCCAGACCCCCTCCCCACGAAGCCCAAAGTGCTCGGCTGGGCCTGGGAACTTCCCCAGCCCGCGACCTCCCGGAGTTCAAGTTCGGGTCAGACACAGGCCATCCACAAAGTACAAACGAGGGCGCGGTAGGGCCCACTGATAGCTCCGCCGTCCTCACCCTGCCCGCCCGCCCTCCTTGGAGGGTCGCTCCAGGGCCAAGCCGCTGGCACCTGGATCCGGACACCCCCTCCTCGACGTGCTTGCAGACAAGGATCCTCAAGCCATTCTGTCCCTTTTTCTAAGTCTCACCCTGCCTGCCCCAGCTCTCCCTCCCTGGTCGCCTTCCGGACCTCTCAGGGCCAGTGCGTGGTCTCCTGTCCCACCTGTCACACTTCACCGCTACCTTGACCATGCGTCTGTCTTCTGAACGTTCTTCGGTTCCATAAATGGGTCTCACTCACTGGCCTCAGCCTTCATACGTTCTGGTCCTTCTCCTGGAGCATTCTTTGCTTGATAATGGCTGTTCTCTGAATTTTGTTTCAGCATCGCCTCCACTGGAAAGCCTGCCTTGACTTCCTCTCCTTATAGGGGTTTCTGAGCTCTGAAGCTCATCGCTGGTTTCACTTATGAAACTCTTATTATAATGTCTGATTCCCACTGGAATCAGCCTACTCAGGGACTACTCTTGTTTTTTCACTGTTTTCTATAGTAATTTTTAATAAAAATATTTGTAAATGAAGATTTCCAAGTTAACTGACTAAATTTTAGATAGCAACTAAAATGTATAAGTTCTAGATAGTATCATTTGCCCTTTGAAGTTTAGAGGCTCCTGTGTTTTTCATGAATCCAGTATTACTTGATGAATCAGAACTTTGGTCTTCCCCTTGCCTCTCCTTTTCCCTCTAGGAATTCATCTTTACTACTAATCTGTGTCATTACTTACTATGTGTTGTCTTTTTTCTTCTTTCCTGCATCTCTCTCCCTCTCCCTCAACCCCCAGCCCTAACATAGAATAGAATTGTGCACAAATCTAATTGTGCACAAGTATTTTATTAGTAGTATCTGCTGGGTGTTTCACTATTTCATAGTTTTTAAAAAATGTAAAGTGTGGATGGGGAAAATGTGGGTAGGTAGAGTGTTCTATTTTTTTCTGTAAAAATGAAACTGCCACTTAATTGAAAGTGGCCACCACAAAATGGGAACCTTTTTTCACCAGAGACCAGTTACGCTTGATAGAAAAGTATTCTATGTTGGTCCAGAAAAAATGATCTGGAACAAGGGCCATCAAGAGACTTTTATTGTCAGATGCCCCACACATAGTCTGAGGGACCATGAGATTTTAGGCTTCTGCACACGGCTCCCTACACACTGTCCCTCTTGCTCAGGTGAGGACCCCATTTTAGAGACTCTGACTTTGTTAGGAACCATGCAGGGGCTATCTGTAGAGGAAGTTCCCCACTCTTGAGCGGGCACCCATCTCTGTTGCTAAGTGATCTTGGGCCTGTGAATCTCATTCCCTGTCTGTAAAGAGGAGATGATATTACCAAGCTCATAGCATTGGCGCGAGGTTCCAGCAATAGGGAAGCTCCCCTAGGGTCCTGCCTTGCCCAGACCAGGAGAACCTGAACAAAGAACCACTCTGGGACGGAGATGTGGCTTAGAGAGGAAGGGGATGGGGGCAGAGAGCATCATCAGGCTCTTACAAAACAGAAGGATCCCCTTGCCTCCTGATGCCATCTATGGTGAAGCAAAAGCCAAGGGGAAGTGAGGGTGCACCTGACCGCCTGGCATGCAATCACTCCCCATCCCCCACCCTACCCCCACACCCCTACTGGAGCCTGGCCACGTGGGAGCAGGGAGATGTGGCCTCCACAGCCCCAGGAGCCTCACTCCCAACAGTAAGCCAGCCCTTGCCCCCACTTCCCCTGACTGGGGTGGCAGATTGAGGGTGTGGTGAGAGGCTTGATTCCGGTAGAAGCCAGGGTGCATGAGTGTGTGGGTGGGGGGAGCTGTGTCACCAAAGGGAACTGAAAGAAGCCTAGTGTGAGT